ATCAAACCCCGTGGGTTATGGAAACTTGCAATAATGCCTGGTGGAAGATGGGGTTTCTGTGCTGACCTGGTGATCTGATAATGTCCCTGGGTGTGACCCATGTCCTTACCCCATTGACTACAGTCTGATTCCACCACCTGTTCCTCTGTCCTTCACGTCTTCAGGGACTGTGGGGATCGATTCTGATAACATGTCAGGGTCAGTAACATGCAGAGGGAAGTGATATGGCTACCTCACAGCAGTGGCTCACAGGTAACCCTGCTCCTGTCAACCCCAGTCACAGTGACACTGCTGCCACCTGGGTCCCTCGTGTGGCCCCTGTAACCTGTAGCTGATTGCCCTACAGCTTACTCTGGGGCCAGACTTCACCCTCTTTTGGGCTGGAAGCACCCCAGATTTGGAAGCCTAGCGGCCTTCCAGGGTCCCATTTAGTAGCTCCTGGACTCTGCTCACTCTTACAAGCTGCCTAAGAGGACTTGCGTTGTCTGTTGGCCACCCATGACTCCTGGGGCCTCAGGGTCTCACTGAGGTCTCCTGAATGGAGTTGAAACATATAACTGGAAGTTTCGGGGACTAAGCATCCCACCTCCCTTTGCTTCCACTGTCACAGACATCAACTTCTCAAATGGACTTATAGAGTTTGACTGAACTGTGTGACCTTCTGTGAGCTTAGATTGTGACTCATCTGAGGTCAGTTTGCTCAGCCAGCAGCTGACTGTGGTAACTTGAGTCAAATGGATATGGAAATGGTTCCTTCCTCTACATCCTTAAGGGACCTGAGCATATTATCCCGTACGTTCCAAAACGGAGTAGCGGAAGCAGTGGAGGCAGAGATAAAAGCACAGACACTGTAGTTGCAGACTCAGCAAGTCCAGCCTGCACAGTCCTGGCACGGGAGGATGGCTCTGGGCCTGTGGGTAGTCCATGAGCCCTGTTCTTCCTGGCAGCTATTTCAAACCTGGGGGGGAGGGTCCTTTGCCAAAACAAACAAACAAGCAAACAAAAACCATGAAGTTGGGCGTGATGGCACAGGGTGGATGAGCTTTTGGGGAGTGATGTGTGAAATGTCACAGTCACGATAAGAATTGATTCCTGAATGGTCTCGGAATTTCAGGTCACAAGTCTTAGAGATATTTCACATGGAAAGCATGGGAGGGGGATGGTCAGATGGGACACAAGCACAGGACCTAAAGGGAGCGGCAGGGCAGCAGAGCTGGGTGGAGGGATGTGGGGTGTAGCAACGGATATTTAACACCATCTGGACATGACCAACACTTAAGGAGGGCAATATTCCCACCATTTGTCAGCCTGTGAGTATCACACCTCATGGAGGACCCCTAAGGTATGGCTTCACACCTCCTGTTCCCACGCTGACACAGCTTACAGCAGCTGAAGATCAGTATGTAAATACAAAGCAAGGTTTCCATTGATTGACTGGAATCATTGGCCATTAACTTGGGCCCAGACCTCATCCTGGACATGGACAGGATGAGTCCAACTGAAGAGTCATCAGTAGCTTTTCTACCATTTACAGGTAATAAAGAGAAAAACAACAAACCCCCAAACAAACTCCAAACAAAAAAGGCAGAAGTGTAGCCCTCCCATGTTCAGATTTGACCTCAGGAAGACTTGTGACAGCATAGAGGCTCCTGAGAATGGGTTAGCATGACACTGTGTGAAAGAATATGTTTCAGGTGGGAAGTGAGGGGCAACAGCTTGGGGAAGAGACTCACTCTAAGTCAATTCAGTTAGAGCCCAGAAGTACTAGGAGAAAGTTACAATGCTGAGATACCAGCAAGGTCCTAAGCTGCTTTCTCAGGCTTCCTAACTAAAATTGAGACAGAGGGAAGCTTCTGTGCCCATGCCCTTATATCACCTGCAGACCCACCCTCTGCTCTGACTGGGGTTTCTTGGACCCCGTAGCCTAGGGCCTAGTTTTAGCTTGGCAGCCCCATACTCTGAGCCTGTGGACCATGCCTCTTCCTGCTGATCCTGCATTTTGCTTCTAGGAGATGGGCTGGTTCTGCCTCCCTGCCAAGCTGCTGGGCGGCTGCATTTGAGATTACAAGTGTCATTTCTGGGATTCGGAGGGACTGTCGATGAACCAGCCAGAGAGTAATCACTAAGGGGTGGGGGAGAGGGAATACTGCAGGGCCCAGCAGATCTCCACAAAGATGATGCCGGCATGCTAGCCAGTGATACCAGCATTTCCCATGTCTTCTTCACAGGACAAGGAGTTCCAGGGTTTCTGGACTGTGTTTCCACCCTCTTAAATGGAGTTAATCACATTGTCTTGGGGGTATTCAAAGACCTGAGCAATTAAGGATTGCAAAGGGCTTTGAAAATATGTAAGCTTTCTGAGAAGGTGTATTTAACGTTTATAAAGGCAAGTCTATGCTTATAGGCTCCATAAACTATACCTGCTGGTGCAGGACTTAGATGTATGACTGGCTTTTTTGAACTTGGGATATTTCATTTTCAATTAATTAATTGATGTGTCAAAGGGACTTCCTGTATCTATCCAGGGTCTTATTTGGAGAACTTAAGTTGCAACCAAAGACTTATCTTAAACAGTCCCGGTTAATTCACACAGATACCCTATAATCCAGACAACACAGCCCACAGGAAAACTGGTTCCTGGCCCTCTAAAGCCCAGACTTGGGGGGAGGTAGCACAGTGATTTGGTTTCATTAAAATTACTTAGTAGGACTATAAACCAAACCACAGACACTCCCTTTTACCCAATATAAAGAATTTTCTTTGTCAGCCCCTAAAAGCCAATCCCAAATGGGACCCATGTCTTGGCAGCAGTGTTGGCAGATTGACTGTGATGTCAAGGTGTGAACTTAGACTGCAGCTGGAGAGAGAAAGTGGTTACAAGCTAGTTCCACGGCAAGTCTGCCCCCCCCCAACCCCCACAAAGCTCCATCCATCCAGTTCCCTTAGACAAAGGGTTCCCCTCCCCCATCAGCAGGACTGTGATTGGTGGTTGGTTAATGGTGACCTTGGTATCTCCCTCGTTCTCCTGTCACCAGCACTGGCCATGACGATGTCTTCCCCAAGGGATTAATTCACACAATACAAGCCCAATCTTTCGCCATGGAGATGGAAAAGGGGTTGGACTGTGGTTGTTCATATCTTTCATCAATACAGAATTAAATGACTGGGAGGCCAGCCTTCAGGTGAGGGTAGTGCTTCACAGGCCCGGTGGCCAGGGGGGCATCGGTCACTTCCTTCTCCTGTCACCTCAGATTTACCTCACTTGCAGCCAGAGGAAAAGGAAAGAATTCATTTTCCTGGAGTCACAAGAGTTCACAGAAGACGTCTTCCCTCACAGTGGCCAAATTGCTTAATGAAGAGTGCCCCCCTGTGTCTGATTAGGGAAAACACAATTCAGAAACCGGACCGAGGGGGTTCTGTGATGGAATCTAGCGTCACTGGGATCTAAGGGTGCCTCTCCTTAAGATAGTTTCTTCCCCAGATCCCTCAAGAGGCAAAACTAGGAGAAGGACCCACCAGCAGCATCCTAGTTGGAAACACAGCCTTCGGTGAGATTGCACACTTCCACTGATGATCCTGTTTGGATGCATGCCCATGTCAGGGTTCAGAACCGCTTCTTGTGGAACCAAAAGTTACTCTCGGCTGGGACTTCAGATGAGGACCTGAAATTGGTTGCTGTCTTCCCATCAGTTCATTGATAGCTGGAATTTAAGACTCATACTGTAGAAACACACATATACCACTGCATGTATCACACAAACACAGCCTAATGTGACAGAGAGAATCCAAATCACTTGCCATCATCATCCCTAGGGGACAATAAAAGACGGGTATCTGTTGATATTGTTGGGACAGAGAGAAGCATCCCCAGCATGGCTTCCCCTTTCCTGGGTCCAGTCAAACGATGTACACAGTGGCAATGTCAGCATCAACACAGTGCAGATGGAAGTCACCTTGCCAGAAGTTAGGGAGTTTGCCTGTGAGCCTGATAAAGTACAAGCCGGGATCTTCATCTGAGCATGTCCACTTCTCCGGCCTGGGGTCTGCACTGCCAACCTTTCTTCTGGATGACCTTTGTGCTTCTGTTTCCATTTCTAGGGTGGCTCTTGAAATGGCTGGTCTCTTCTGGAGGCCACTGGCAGAGATCCACATGCAGGACAGTTGAGGAGTCAGGGACCCAGGATCTAACCAGGCCTCAGGCAGGGCAGTCTGCCCTTGACTCAGCACACCTCCATGGGATCTCCTCCTAATGTGTCTCACCTGTCTCCACAGCGTGGCCCCCAGGTCTGGTTCTTTGTGCCAACCTAGAACTTACAGCTCATCTCTCCAGTACTGCTTCTAGCTTCTGGCCAACCTAGAGAGAGGTTTCGGAGTGGTGTTCACCCTCATCCTGCTGGAAGTTATGAGGAACAGTGTCCGGACCACATGCTGAAAAACACACACTCATTTTCCCCCATAATTCTTTTAGAACCTAAAACTGTACTTCTCCTATTGGTCTTTGGTTTGCTATCTCCTTTATAGAGCTGAGAGCTGGCCAGCCCTGAGTAGGCAGGCCAGGCCACATTTGCAGGTACACATGGCAATGGCCTTGAGCCAGAGAGGTAGCACCAAGAGTTGTTCAGATACTTGAATTTGTACACATATCATCCAATACCTTCCTTCATCTTCTGATAACATGTAGGAGAGAGCAAGTCTCTCAACTTTTATCACCTGGCCTCACTCTTGTGTAGAAACAAGTAGTTGACAATTCTGAGAGAACACACACACACACACACACACACACACACACACACACACACACACACACACACACACAGAAACACACACACACACACACACACACACACACACTTTTATTTTATCTTGGTTTTTAAGACAGGGGTCTCCTTACACAGACCAGGCTGGTCACAATCTTTTGATTCTCATGCCTCTGGCTCCGAAGTGCTGGAATTATAGGCATGTATTACCACACCTAAGTGATACCTTTCTTTAGGAACTCATGGGGAAAAAAAATCATCATTTAATCAACAAAGTGGGTTGAGAGACAAGAACTATCAGTATTTGTTAAAGTTTGGAGAGGTTCCATGGAAAAAGATATTTGTAAGGTTCTCAGGTATCAGACCTCTTTTTAGTTAATTTCAAAAGACAGAGATACCAGATAGTAAAGAACTCTGCCTTTTGGAACAGTTATTAACTTTCACACCACAGCAATACAACAAACAAAACACCTCTTGCTGCTATGCAACAAATGACAAAACATAAAAGATAGATGTACCCTTGGGAGTCATGGGCTGGGGAAGGGCATGCACATGAACCTCTTATCTCTGATGTTATTCAGGACACATCTTCATGTGTATGGATCCCATTTCCTTGAAGTGATGCAATGCGAGATGTAGGCTCATGTGCCCCCGATGTGACACACAAGAACAAATCATTATGCACAAGAACAAGATGTCCTTGAAAAGATGTAGATGTCTATAGGTCATGTGTCTTCTATGTGACTCCCTGAAGATATGGCACCATGTAGATATTGTTCCTTTAAATAAGGCGTTAAATCCAAAGGGGGGAAATCAAAGCCAATTGATGAACATCAACTTGGTATTTTTACTCTTTCACCCAGAAGATGACTTGTGTGTGTGTGTGTGTGTGGTGGCGGGGTTTAAAATCACAAAACACCTCCAAAGTCTCCTCTACAGCTCAGCAAGTGTCACAGAAAACTTCTCCTTGGCTGGCTGCAGGACACATCCAGCCACAGTCTGGAAGGCGGGTATGAGAAACCATGACCCACTGAGGTTGGTGTAGCTAAGTGCATTGTTACACACGCAGGCAATGCAGCCTCCCCAGATTTTGCCACTACCAACTGAGGAGGAGGACAGTCTTCCTGGATCCCCAAACACAAGAGTGGCTTTTCAGGGAGCTCTTGGGATCCAATGGTCTCTTCTCCGCCAGCTTTCCAGAGCCTCCTACACTCAGCCTTCACATCTAGAAATGAGTTCTCTGCCAAATGCTCCCTGGGGACCTGTGGTCCAGCACCCAGCTTTGTGAGCTCCACCTTCACAGGCTGCCCTGTCATTACTTACCCACAGAATACACACAGATGAACACTATCTGGCCTCCAGGGATGACTGTAACTAGCTCGCACATCAGGCCAAGCCTATCTGTCACACACACCCCTGGAGTTTGCATGGCTAGACCATAGCTAGAAGGAGAGCTTCTAAGAATGAACATGTGGCTAACAAGACATGGGAAGCCACATGTTTCTGGGCAACAACTAGGGGCAAAGCAGTGACCACATTTTCCAGGATACACCATCAGGACATGAAAACCCAAATCTGCTGCAGGTATCAAGACTAGCCTAGGGGTCACAATGACACCAGATGAGAGAGCCTCAGAGAAGTACAGCCTGAGCCCTGAAGGAGAATTAAAGGGGCAGAGGTAGACAGGGAGAGCAAAAGCAGGCTTCCTTGGATGGCATCTTCTTGTTCTCAGAAGATGCTGTGAGCAGGGACAGCAGGCAGAGGCAGGACTCTCAACAGAACAAATAAGGGAAAGGGGAGGAGCTGGGGGCCCGCATACCCCTTTTCTCTCCGTGTCTTGGTCTTCTGTCTTTCCCAGGTGTTCAATTATTTGTTCCTCCCATGGACTGACTCCCTTATCCTCTAGAACCACCAGCATCCCTGCTATGTGGTCAGAATGACACAGACTCCATCCCACCTTTGGATGCTACCCAACTCACTTGCTATTGCAGCGACTTGAGTCTTCTCCCAGAACCCAAAGGAGCCTGACTTGTGTTTTTGTTTTTTGTTTTTTTGGTCAACTTGTGTCAACTTGATTTGTGGAGTTTTTGGTTAAATGCATTAACATTTGTTTCTTCTCACTGAAAGTCAAAATTCTTAACAAAACTGCATGTGTAAGCTTGATGGTTTCATTCCATTTGTTCTTCTCCCGGTTAGTATAGGACACTAGGTTCTCAGTGTACTGTAGGATTGATTTTAAGAACCTGTTAAAAAGACAGTGAGGGATTTTAGTTTCTTGGTCTGTACTGTGACAGAATGTATCAGTATACATGTCTTGTCTTCTCTTGGAACTATTACTAAAAACTACTTAATTGTGTGTGGATTCAAGAAGAAATACATGCAAAGGGAAAGTAAGAAAAACTGTTATAGAGAAAACAAAAGTGCTGAGGTCAATGCTGTCAACACTGGGATGAGTTTTATAAGACTCAAGACACTTTTCACACTCTCAGATCTTGACACGATGTTCCTAAGTGACAGAACAGGATTCCAAAGACTTCAGGGCCACCTGGCTCAGATTGAGACATGGCAGACACACATCGAGAGAAGGTCCTGCCCATAAGTCTCTCTGGGTGCTAATGTGGCATACCTTGGCTTTCTTCCCTTTGTGTTGCCATGTCTCTCTGAAGAGGAAACACCATTACTATGAAACAGCTTGACTGTTGAAAACAGTTTTCCTTAAAAGATTTTCCTTAAATTGGCAGCAAGTTCCAACTGATTAGGGTAAAGATTTTTATGTTTTCAGATTTCCCCTCAGTTTCCCGAGTAGTGTAGACTTTCCCATAATTATTTATACTTATAAAATTTTCGTGAATGTATGTTAAATGAATGGTACAGTGAGACCCACAGAACCTTGGTCTAGGGAGTGGCTCTTCTCTGGGGGGCAGTTTTATTCCTTGGGGACACTTGGTGATGTCACTGGGAGAGTGCTACTGGCATGTGGCCAGATGCCATGGATGACACCTCGTACCACACAGTATACATAGACAATACAGATCACCCACCAGGGTACAACTAAAGTGAGTGTGAGTCACTTGGACCTGAGGGTGGAATTCCTAAGTTTGAAACTGTTAGCTATGTTCACAAAGTTAGCATCACATTATAGAGAGAAGACTGGCAGGAGAACCTGTGGGGGTTAGAACATCACCAAAACAATGCCTCCTTTCTTCCGAGCAGGCAGGCAAGCCTTACCTCAGGTACTGATGGCGTTCCTGAGAACTTTTACCCTGGACAGCATGTACACTGACCACTTCCAGTGCAAGGAGCAACAAAGTCAGGTGAAGCACAGGAGACAAGAGTTTAACGCTGAAATAGGGGAAAGCAAAGTGAAGATTGTGACAGAGTCATTTCCATTTTCATAAGGAAAACAACACTTCACCTAATCAGCAATACATACACAAAACAAAATGAAAATCAAAACAAACAGCAAAAACAGAATGACAAAGGAAAAAAGCCGGAAACAAAATAGAAAGCATGTGGTTTGCTTTGCCAGCATCTTTTTAAAGTAACCCTAAGTCCAACTGTCTAGGAAGACAGTTTTTCAGGCTTTACCTTGCCTGCTCTGCCATGCCCCAATCCCTACCTTCCAAGCCCACAGGAGCTTGCAGCCCAGCCTCTCCCTGCCCTTTACACTCAGTTCACAAAGTGCTTCCACTCCAGGCAGCAGCAACCACCTTGCATCTGGCTCAATCCCAGATGCCTCCAAGAGCACCCACAGGCCAGCACCAAGGGCAGGCAGTGTGCTTTAACTCTGCTAGAGCCCAGATATTCCTGTTAAAGCCCGAACTTATTTTGTCTGTGAGACCAGCAAGAGATGCTGAAAAACTCTTCACTTCATTTTAGGAGGGAAGTGATGTCATAGCACTCCCCTATAAACTACCTGAGTGCAGAGTGAGAAACTTCTGGAAGGCAACGAACAAGCAAGAGCTCTGAGAGGCCTACAAAACACCACACCATTCAACCCAAAGTTCTAGAAATGTGTCCAAACAGCTATTTCTTCAGGGAATGTGATGAACTGTAGTGCTGGCAAACCTAAGAAACATGCTCTGGGGCTTAAACCCAGACAGTCATTTTGGGTGGTGGGACCCACTCCCACAGGCTAAATTTAATATTTTTATAAAGCAGTATACACTGTAAATAATCTCTGGAAGGATCAGCACCCATCCAAGTTTGAGTAAGAGGGGTGCTGAAGAGGGGAGCAGCCTACCTGTTGAGCATGCGCAGATAGTTCTGCCGCTGCCTTGAGCGCAGCTTGTGCTCTACCCACTGCCTGTGTCTCAGCTGCAAAGAGGTAGTGACCTGGTCAGATACACGTTGGCATTGGGAGCTGATGCCCCGGAGCACAACCAGAACTTCCAGAACGAGTCTGGGGCAGAACAGAGTAGGAATGTGTGTGCTGCAGAGTTCCTTGAGCAGCTGGGGCCACCTGCAAGTGAGAGCATAACATTCAGGGACACACAACACCAGGGAGTGCCATTGCCAGCTCTTTCTCTGAATCTGAATTGGTTTGGGGTTTGCTGATATAAGTGGGACCTCAGTAAGTGTCAGGCAGGTAAAATGCAACCGCAGTGAACAGAGTGCACATGGGAAGCTTCACCAGACACATGGTACTTGCACGGAGATCACCTAACCTCACTTGATGACCTCATTGGGGCCACCATACCAAACTGCTGAAGTTTAGAGTAGAAACATTGAGTCTGCATCATAAATTTACCAGGTGTGTTTCTTCAGTACTCACTTCTCTGGGGGAAGACCATCCATAGCACAGGTACTCCCAGGCATATAGTGGCAGAACTCACACAAAATCTTGCTAATTAAAGAGTTGCAGGCATATGCTTCAGAATTACCTTCCAATCTGAAGAACACACAATATTTTAAAGGTTTATTTCAATAATTAAAATCCCCACATTACTGATAATATAAATGATGTTTAATGCACAGTGAACTTGACCTAAGATCTTGTTTCCCCCACATAAATGAAAATAGACATCATGACAGGATACGATAAATGACACGAGAAGCTGAAAGCAAGGCACTGTGCAGATAGAAAGTGATCTGTGGCTTGACCTAGATTAGTCCTACTACAAGTGTGTCTGCTTTATCTACAGTCCCAAATCTGTGTCCCTCCCCTTCTTTCTCGAGTCCAGACCTTTTTCATGTCTGCCGAGCCCTTACTGAAGGGTGTCTTATCTTCCCGACAGACACCTCCAGTCTGTGATCAACTGCCAACAAACCCGGCCCAGCAGTTCCTTTCCAAAGGACTTCTAACAGCCCTGTACAAGAAGGATGAGGATTTCAGTGCCGACTGCAACTGTCAGCCATGGTCTACACGACCCAAACAACACATGCAACAACTTAGGCGACATACACCCCAGTCCAGATGACATGCACCTGGCTGCTTCCTGACACGGCTCTTCCAGTGTAGGCAGCATGCTCCACATCCTGAGGCTTTCCTCACAGCTCAGCACCTGGGAGGAAATAATTGGAGGTTCCAGGTTTTACAATATCCTAGGAAGTGTGTTTTCAACTGTCATGGATACTGAATCACTTTCTAGAAAATACGTGTAAAACTGTTACAGATTGCAAATTTGAAAAGCAATGGTGAGCTCAAGCGTTTCACATGTTCATTCGACGGACTATTAAGTCTGCTGCTGGTCCTTACTGTTGGGGTGATGATGAGCATGTTCACAAACATGACACCCTCACTTGAGAGGGACCTACCTCCCCTCCTCTGAACTGTGACTAGCTTTGGCAATCCATGAGTGAGAACAACAGCACAGATGAGGGAGCCATGTCAACACTGTCAACAACTTGACAGCACCCAGGTGAAGCCACACAACAGATCTTTCAGCAGGTCCTGCCCCACGATAATGTCAGCAAATTAAGTGACAGCTGTGTGGCCATCGCTGACTGTGAGCAATCTTCTGCAGCAGCAATAACCAGAGCAATGACCTTATGAAGCACAGGACTCGGGGCTGTCACCAAGTAGTAGATGGATAATAGCTGAAGATCCAAAGTAGCCAGGGTGCTACCAGGGGCCACAGAAGAGGACAGCAAAGGGCACAGGCTGGGAGCTCAGCAATCAGGTCACCTGGTAGTCTACTATCCAGAAGCTTTCTATCCTTCCAGAACTTCCCTCCTTTCTTCCCTGTCTCTTTAAAACACTGGTCCCTGTAGGTAATCTCTGATACTTCTATCTTTATAATGGTATCTTGGGGAGAAGACTCATGAGGTTTACCATCCATGCTCCTGCCCCCAATCCAGAACCCACTGGCAGGGGATGGAGGCTAATTTGCTGACTTGCTCCTGCTCATCCACACTGATTTAGCTGTTTCCTCCTAACTGACATGTCCCTCCTGGAGGAAGCATCTTAAGACTTAGGAAGCTTATGGAATTTACAAGATTCAAAAGCCCCTCCCCATGGTTATAAAAGTAGAAGATGACTGCTGGGAGGGGGACATTCTTGGCTTGGCTGATCTCCAGTTGTATAGAGAACCCCAGGGCGGCCTTTGTGAATCATCACCAATGCTGGGATGGACATCGCAGAAGCAGCTGCCTGAGGCATCTAGGCATCTGTAAGTCACTCCCCAAAACTCACTGGTTTGGTAAGGCAGACTTGGGTGGAATGGTCTCTTTGATCTGTTTGTTGGTGCGCTAGGAGAATGGGTGTTTGTTCACATGTTCCTGGGAAAGTCTCACAGTGGATGCATTTGTCCTAAGGCAGCACTGGTCACTAGGTCTTCCCCTACACTCACATACCAGTTTACAGCAGCCCTGTGAGGCTGTGCTCTCTTGCCAGTTCTGTGCAAGAGCCATTCTGAGTGTGACATCCATGGGGGCTCATCTTGTCCTGTCTCCTGCCAGACACAGAATGAAACATCTGAGGGCTGGGGAAATGGCTCAGTGGTTAACAGCATGTACTGCTTTGAAGGACCTGAGTTCAATTCCCAACACCTGCTGCATGGTTTACTGCTTATAACTCCAGCTCTAGTGAATCAGAAACCTCTGACCTCCAAGGGCACCTGCACTCATACATACTATAGCCCCCTACATAAAATATTTTTTTTAAAGTATAAAGCATTTGAAATAATCCCCAAATTGGAACTACCTGGTAGAAATGCTTGGAAGTTTGTTTTTAAAATTATAAGTTAACAGGAAATCGTCTTATATGGTAGAAGAGAAAAATGACATTCCTCACTTGATAAAACTTGTTTCTCTCTCTGGGCAGTGACAGTGACAGTGACAGCAGCCATCTAGGCTCCATTCTAAATGCTGTACCTGTCATCCCTGAGACTAAAAACATCTGTAACTCTGAGACATAGAACTTGAGCTACAAGCCCAAAAGAGCAACCAACCAACTGGTCAGAAGCCTGACAGAGCAAAGTCCTGGGACCCTCTGATGTCTCTGAAGGAAGAGCAGTGTCACATGTCCCCTCTCCCAAACACTCTGCACTTCACATACCTGTTTTTGAAGCTGGAAGACTGGGTGGCAACGGGATCTGTAGCCTTCAGCTAGACTAACCAGAAACTGTATTGCTGCTTCCTCCTAGTGTAAGAACACTGATGTTAGTCACCATAGTTCCGCACTAGGTGTGGTGTCTTCTCCTGAATCACAGTCACTTAGAGTCCTCATCTCTCACAATCTTCCTCAAAACAATTCTACCCGGGCTGGAGAGGTGGCTCAGTGGTTAAGAGCACTGGCTGTTCTTCCAGAGGTCCTGAGTTCAATTCCCAGGAACCACATGGTGGCTCACAACTGTCTGTAATGAGATCTGGTGCCTTCTTCTGGGCTGCAGCATACATGCAGACAGAATACTGTATGCATAATAAATAAAAGTGAATTGTTAAATTAAAAAAAAAATCCTACTCATCTGGAGCATGGTAAAACTCTTCACTACAGGAGGATGGACCTGGTAGTCACCAACTGACTAAAAGGGAGCTGAGAGCCACCATAATTTACAAAGATCACATCTATCCAGTCCATAGCACAACAAAACTACAACTATACAAGGAGAAAAAGATCCCCAAACAAAAGGAAAAATATGAAGGACTGAAATCAATACAATCAGAAGAGAATTACATGACCATAAAGTTAATTGCTAAACATATAAATATTAAAAAACAAAGATACTGTAGTATATTCCAACAGCTGTTATAAATGTGTAACTGAAAACCCATGAGGCAGCCAAAGTTGTCACACTCTCAACTGCACAAAGCAAATGACTGAAATGACACAAGATCAAAGTGCTGGGGACATATGCCAACTTCTCATTCACTGAACTGGTCTGAGCCACAGCCATGCCATGGGCAGCATCCTCATGGCCTTGGTCCCAGCAGGGCAAGAGGCTTGTGTGAAGGCTGGGGATGAGTGCTGGGATAGGCAACAGGGGACAGTGTATGCCTCCAGGCCAGGAGAGAGCACAGCCCTTCTGCTCTAGGGTATGAACTCACAGACAGCCTCTACATTGTTTGAGAAAGGACCTGCCTACTGTGCTGAGAAAAGGGAAGAGGGAGGCTGTCAGAGCAAGTCTCCCTCCAGGGAGTGAAGGTGATTTGGCCAAGTGGTGGTGATGGAAGAACACTGAGTAAATAGATTCAAGATGTATTTTAGGACAGAAAACTGAGTACAGAATATGGAAATAGGGAAGGAGGCTCGGGGGTCTGCAAGCCTCAGGAGCTACCTTTGGAGATGTGCTACTAGATGGGAGGGTGGGGTCCTGAAGTCAGGACACACTTGTTATTGATAATGTGTTTGAGACAGGGTCTTATACATCCCGGGCTGGTCTCAGACTCCATGTAGCTGAGGATGACCTTCTGATCTTTCTGCCTTCATCTTCTGAGTGAGGGCTGGGATTACAGGTGTGTGTGTGGGGGGGGGGGGGTTGGCCTGGGATTACTGGATCAAACTCAGGTCTTCATGTGTGCTAGGTAAGCACTCTACCAACTGAGCTACATCCTCAGTTTCTACATCCTCAGTTTCTGAGTAGTGTTCACTATGGTAAATGATGTCTGTTTCCCTATGTGGCTCTACTAGCTTATTCTTTCAGCTTGTTTTCTGGGTCTGTGTTTACTTTAATGATATAGCTCACATGGAATATAAACAGTGAGAACAGACCAGACAGTTCTGAGGAGATAGCAATGGGAGCCATCTTTAGTTTGGAAAGCACTAAACTATGTCATGGAGATTCAGCAGAGAGCAGAGCTTCCAGAAAGAGAGTCCAGGGCTGGTGCCTGATGTACCTTGAATAAAGATGTCAATTCTCTACATGGCGTTCAGAAAAATTGCTAGCAATTTCATCAAGAAAACACTGAAAACTAGACTCTCTACCTTACTCCCAAGAGGAACTAAATTTTACTTGGAGCAAAAGATAAAAACACTGGGAAAACTATGATTATGGTGATAATTTTCAGAATACAAAGAAATTTTCAAGAATGACATCAAAGGCAGAAGCTAGAAGTGAGTAACAGGTGGCACATCACTGAAAACAGCAGCAAGGCTAATAAAGCAGTGGGAAAACACAGTGAGCAAAGACAACGTTGGAACGGTAGCATCAGTGAAGAGAAAGACCAGTCCTTACTGCTATTATTCACAAGGCTTTACTTTTGCAAACTTACTAACACAGGTGCCCAAGTGAACACAGTCCTTCAGTTCACCACTACAATCATAGCTTCATCAGTCAAAGGGATAGCTCACATATCAATGGAGAGCATTTAGATAAGTGATGGTCTACTGGTGCAATGGAATGATAGACAGCTAACAAAAAGAGGAGGCACAACAGAGATCCAAAAATACACTAATAAAAACAGGCTCAAGGGACAAAGCATTTCTTCCTATGAGCTGATTTGGAAATACTCACAGAAAGAATAGAGAAGCAAGGACATCCAACTAATAATTTTTCAATCTTGTTTGGACTTTTAAGTAGTTTAAAAGGTAACTGTCATATATATAGTCTGAAAACAAAAATACCACCTACAATGTTGTAACTGAAATTATTTAGTTTAAAATAACAAAATCATTAATTTCAGAAATGCAAATACCCCATTCTATCAATTTGACATACTTGTAGGAGTTTTCTGCATTTGGTTAATAATTTTTTATAACTGTTCTTTGGTTTTTACCACCAACACTGCTATTAAGAACAAAGGCAGGGGCTGGAGAGATGGCTCAGTGGTTAGGAGCACTGCCTGTGTTCCCAAAGGTCCTGAGTTCAATTCCCAGCAACCACATGGTGGCTCCATCTGTAATGAAATCTGGTGCCCTCTTCTGGCCTGCAGGCACACATGCAGACAGAACACTGTACATAATAAATAATCTTTAAAAAAAAAAAAGAACAACGGCAAAGACGTGTTTAAGAGAGGACAAATCATTTCATATTCACAACTATGATTTTCAGAGAATGCATTCATGTAAGTTGTTAATTTACCGTTATTCTGATGGAATAAATAATGCTGCAACTCAAATTAAAATGAAAAAATGAAATCACATTTGAAAAATCAGACATGTTCTTCTATTGCTAGTGGTAGCAAATTCTGCTAGCCACCCTCCTCCGTGTGGTATACCTTCAGCTCTGACAAGGAGCCTTCCTCAGTGAATCTGAGCAGAAGCACCAGGGAGAATGTGAGCAGCTGGCTTGCTGCTTCTCTCGGAAATTCACGTAAGTTGATCTCCCCATGGCTTAAACGATCTCGGATACGAGGACCCTCCTGATAGTTCAGGAAATCCCACAAGAATTCCTTTTAGAAAATTAACAGAGAAGCATTCTGTTAGTGTTGTGGCAGAGGGAAGAGCAAGAGGCAGGGTTCCAGGCAGCCAGGCTTGTTTACAAACTGATGGGAAATGTGAGTCTCAAAGAGGGCATTCACCCGTCCTGCAGCTGGAACTGTAGTGGGAGCTCTTACTCCCCAGCCTGCCTGCAGGAGCTGAGGACCAATCACTGAGGCAGTTGCCTGGAAGGAGCTGCTGCCTAAGTCATTCTTACCCTCCTACGTGGAAGGAAAAAAAACATTCCTAAAGAAGCGTTTGCTCTTGCTTGAATGAGCATAACCAAGCAGGTGTCCCTTGAGCCATCCCTTCCCCTACATTCCCCTCCCTCCCGTGGACCACTCCTGCATCTTACATCAACAGTAACAAGCCCTCTAACAGAACATGTCCAAAGCCAGAAAAACGTCAGAAAGCCACTGATGTGGGCAGACTGCCAACAGAGGACAAAAAACCAAGGAAAAAAAAAAAAAAAAAAAAAAAAAAAAAAAAAAAAGAGTATCAGATAAATTAGTCATCTGGCTGTCTGAGGGTAGGAAGGGATGACAAAACCACATCAGGATGGGTAGTAGAATCCAGATCTTCTCTCAGTGAGGTGGAATAGATGAAAAGTATCAACTATAGTCTAAAGCAGTCACTGTAGTACCCTCATAAAATATAAAACGCTGATTGAAAAATGGCTGAAACATTAATTCTGTTTCATCCAACACTTAATCTTAGGGACATTTGACTGTTGCTAAGTTTTACAAAGCAAATGTAGTCCTTTCTTTAGTAGAAAAACATAGAACCAATAAGTAAATATAGTGTTTAGAAAGAGGGCAGCCAAGTTGTCAGGCATTTAGAGGGCATGATAGTCACAGGCATAAACAAAGCCCAGTGCCTACTCATAGTCATTCCTGATGAGTGTCTGTGACAGGACCAGATGACAGCATAGCACAAACAATATTTACTCTACTCTGGATGGCAGCATGTTCATAGACAGAGAGACATGAGACTGGAGATACCCAATACTTTACCATGGCAGGGTCTCCAAGGAAATGAGGAAGCTGGTTAATGTTACCATCTTTCAAGTGTTTTGCCAGTATCTAAAACATCAAAAATAGATTAATCAATAAGCTTTTAAGTGCTCTCTCTCTCTCTCTCTCTCTCTCTCTCTCTCTCTCACACACACACACACACACACACACACACACAACATGCCCAAACTCATGTACCTACTCATATATGGACATTGATCTATATGCATACAATTAGAATATTCATATTTCTAAGTTGTTACACTGGTTAAGGACAGTCATTCTCAACAGTTGGTATAGCCAATAGTGTTAATCTGTTTGCATTTTCATACTTTGTGTTTTGGACAACTATAGAAATGAGATTAATAATAGTGGTCCTCAAAATTAGCCTGAAAGCTTTATTTAAATGTATTTATCTGAAACAGAGTTTCATGTATTATAGGTTGCCTTCAAATCCTGCCTCTACCTCATATGTGATGGGATGACAGGCATGTCCATCATCCAGGGTATATTCAGTGCTGGAGACTAAACCCACAGCTTCATGGATGCCAAGCAAGCATTCAATCAACTGAAGTATAGGCCCAGGGCTATATTTAAATCTAGCATGAGCTTCTTACTGCTTATCAACGTTTTTTCCTATATGCATGCTACTTATAATCTTTGTGTTTTTATTAGTAGTATTAAATTATTTTAAATTTACTTACCTTATATGCATGAGTATTTTGCCTGCATGTATGTATGTGTACTAGGTTCATGCCTACACATGGTTGTGAGCCACTATATGGGTGCTTGGAACCAAACTCAGGTCCTCTGCAAGAACAGCAAGGGCTCCTGTCTCTCCAGCCCTAATCATTGTGTTTTAATTTGTATTTAAAAAATGTTTTTTTTTTCAAGGTTTATTGCAAGTTTGACTACTTACTTCATCAAATGTTGTATATAGAATTGTTGACTGCATAAAGGGGAAGAAATAAAAGAGAAATAAAACAAAATGGTAATATATTATCATTCAAAGTCAAAAACAATTCTGACCCTCAGAAGGTGCAACTTTTTTCATAACATCATGCAGAATTATCTTACATAATCACAATGAAAATAAATGGGTGCTTTAACAGCAAACAAAATGTGGTGTGTGTGAGTGTGTGTATGTATGTGTGTGTTAGTGTGTGTGTATATGTGAGTATGTGTGTGTATGTGTGTAAGTGTGTATGTGGGTGTGTGTGAGTGGGCATGTGAGTATATATGAATGTGTATGTATGTGTGTGTGAGAGTGTGTATGTGTGTGAGTGTGTATGTGTGAATGTGTGTATGTGTGTGAGTATGTATGTGTGAGTGTATGTGTATGTGTGAGTGTATGTGTGACTGTGTATGAGTGTGTGAGTATGAATGTGTGAGTGTGTGTATGTGTAAGAGTATGTGTGTGTGAATGTTTATATGTGTGAGTGTGTGTATGTGTGAGTATGTGTGAGTGTGTATGAGTGTGTGAGTACATATATATATGTGTGAGTGTGTGTATGTGTGTGAGAGTGTGTGTGTGTGAGAGTGTGTGTGAGTATGCATGTGTGAGTGTGTGTATGTGAGTGTGTATGTGTGTGTGTATGTGTGTAAGTGTGTGTATGAGTGTGTGAATATATATGTGTATGTGTGTATGTGTAAGTGTGTGTGTGTATGTATGTGTGTGTGAGTGAATGTATGTGTGCGTATTGTGAGTGTGTGAAAGAGTGTGTGTGTGTGAGTGTGTGTGTTAGTATGTGCTCTAAGGTATTGAACACAGGTTGTTGTACATATTAAGCAAGTGCTTAGCCAACTTAGCTACATCTTCAGCCCTTAAAGCTTTTAAACAGCCACAGAAAATTGAATTGTCAATACAGTACCCACAGTCACAGTGAGTAACAGAAACGCATGTACCTCGGCCGTGAGGAGTCTATCAGGACATTTGTTAACTGCAGCAAAAACTCTCCTGAGCCCAGCTTCTAGCTGTGACAGCAGCAACATGGTGCAGTCAGCAAACCTATGGAACCGGAGGAAATCAGCAAGTGCTGCAACAACTGCACCACAACCCAGACGCAACCAATGTGGCAATGAAAGCAAGGCATAGAACTTACTGATGTGAGAGACAAAGTAATGGGGTCCAAGTCTAATTAGACCAGGGCCTGTAAAACCATTTCCAGTAATATTTTTAGTAGTCTCAGTAGAACCAAATGTCCTCAAAGATCTATATGTTCTGTGTGTCACTTCTGAGGATGGCCAGAGCAGCAAAGCTCTGGAGGGCAGCTCAAGTACAAAGTGAATCCAAGAGTGAGGTTACTTGAGGAACATGCTGTGCCTGATTTTCACACAGGGTTGGCCTTTGAGGGAATCTAATGGCCAAGCATACTTGCCCTTTTTTTTTTCCTCCAAGGTTTTCTAATGCTATAGGTTCAATTTTTTTTCTTACAGTAAAAACTCAGAAAAAATACTAAGAAGTTTATTCTTAAAAAAAAAAAAAAGTTATGTAGCTGAGTGGTAGTGGTGTATGCCTTTAATCCCAGTACTTTGGAGGTAGAGGCAAATGGATCTCAGTGAGTTCAAGGCCAGCCCAGTCTACAAAGTAAGTTCCAGGACAACCAAGAGTGTTACATAGAGAAACCCTGTCTTGAAAAACCAAAAAGAAAAAAAAAAGTTACATCAATTGCACCAAGAGGATGACAGGGAACACTTGAAATAGTTACAGCTTGCCTAAGTTATTAAAGGAAGATACTCTGTATTGAGCCTAATCTGAGTTGGTCTCTCTTCTACTCTCTCTTCCAGGACAGTAACCAAGCTTTAGACAGAGAAGGGCACGGAACAGGCCTGCCATGTAAGAGCCAACACCACCTCGCCACCCTTGTTACCTGTGCAACTTGAACTTGGTCACTGCCATTTCCCAGTATGGTAACATGATTTTTAGTAAGAAGGCGGACTCTGTCATCACCTTCTCCAATGCTGAGAGCACCTCGTAAGTAACGCCTGTGAAAGAGCAAGTACCTTTATAAACACAATCACAGTAGCCAACTGAAAGAAGTCAGGAACACTTGTGGATAGATATGCCAATGAGCTAATACCCTGGGACAGATGAACTGTGGCCTGGGGCAGAGTGCCCCTCGAAAGGAAGAGCACCTGACCTGCAGCCACAGTGGAGTGACCTCAGGAAGCATGCCAAGGAGAAAGATGGGCAGCAACTGAGAGCAGGGCTCAGGGCTGCCTAGTTTAGTGCACTGACCAGGAAGAATAATATATTCTCAAAGGATACTGGCAAGTCTTTCTATTGCTGGCACAGCTGATGAAATGGCCATGAGCACTGATGCAGACAAGGTGGAAGGAGAGAAAAACAAATACCATGAATGGCCCCAGGATGTTCTGAATGGTAGCACATCTGCGTGGGGGGGGGGGGGGGGGGGGGGGGGGGGAGGGGATTCTCCCTTAGCACCCAGAACAGTGAGAAGAAGTGACATTTAAGAGGTTTTTCAAGTAACTTACAAAGCCAGCTTGACAATGATGGGTAATGACTTCACCAAGAATTCAATTCTGATGCTACTTAAAACCTGTGCAAATACCTCCATGGAGACACAGAAAGGGGTAGTGAGAAACATAGAACTTGCCAGGAAAAACAATCACATCCTCTAGGTTTGTAAGAGTTGCAAAAGGCCGATGTGCCAATGTGACTTTTGTTTGGTGAAGGTAGCTCTTCAGTAACTGCCCCAGTCCCGCTGTCAACAACAACATAGTTGAACAGTATCTAGGGAAGACCAGATGTAGGGAGAAAGCATAATTAGAGATACTGCTGACCATGCCAGCTTGGGCATGGTCACAGGTAATGCCACCACTGCCCAGCTTGGAGATGTGGTCACTGCCACTGCCAGCTGCTTGTATACATGATTCAATTGTTAGCAGGGCCTCTTAAAAGAGCCATGTAGTTTTTCCATTTATACTGAATCAGGAAGATTCCCTTAAAGAAGCCTAGAAAGTTTCTGCTTGTCTCTAGCAAAACAGAGCCACCTGAGAAAATGCTGTTACCAAGAAGTCATGCTTGTCTCTGTTCTTTTGCTTCTAAAATCCCATTTTAAGCTTTTATCAAGTTTTAGGTGGAAATCCATGCTGTATGTCGAGGGTGCCATTTTGTAATGATAACTCTTACCACCAGCTGAGTTCTGCTGCCCCGTTAGGGCCCCCAAATAACACACAGAGACTTATATTAGGTATAATGTTGCTGGCCAATGACTAGGATTTCTCATTTGCTAGCTCAGTCTTAATTATCAACCATAACTACTAATCTATATATTTTATAAAGACTTACTGAGGACGCCGGCCTTGCAACCTCTCTTCCTAGCGATCACATGGTGACGCTCCTCCTTACTACATTTCCCAGGATCCTCCTTCTCTCCTAGTCCCGCCTATCTTACTTCCCTATTGGCCAACAGTGTTTTATTCATTAACCAATAAGAGAGACATATACACAGGACTTCCCCTAACAACCAGAGACCAGAAAGTGAATTTAGCCATATATACAAAGAACTTTTCTTAGGAAAAAAATACTAAACTTATGCAGGAAGGAGGAGTGAGATGGTTCAGCAAGCTGGATGACCTCAGTTAAATCCCTAGACCCACATTTGGAAGGAGAGAACCATTCTCCACAATTGTCCTTTGATTTCCACACAAATGGTGTGGTATATGAGTGCATGGATAAATGAATATAAAAAAAAAAAAAGTAAAACAAGGGCCTGGAGAGATGGCTCAGAGGTTAAGAGCACTTACTACTTTTCCAGAGGATCTGAGTTCAATTCCCAGCAACCACATGGTGGCTCACAACCATCTGTAATGAGATCTGGTGCCCTCTTCTGGTGTGCAAGCATGCATGCAGATAACTGTATACATAATAAATAAACAAAATCTTTAAAAAAAGTAAAACAAAAGAACTAAGAAAGAAAACCATCAGATTCTGGAACTCTCCAAAGATGGTGTTAAACTGTGAAACAGCTAGGAATGCCATTAAGATTTCTAAATGCCTGGGCTCTCTACCGGTCCAGGCTTCTGTGCCTGCTCCTCTCAGGGTGCAAGGTGTCGAAACACACACTATCACCATTCCGGTTACTCTGTTGTTAACATGCAGCCTGACCATTCATGTCTCAAATTCTCCCATCTTTCACAATTAACCCTTTCCTCCTGGAAAATTCAAGATATAGCAAATTCTGAAGCAGATTTAAGAAACAAGCTACTTGGCCAACAACTTACTTCGGAGGGATGTCTTGAGGGGAAGCAAAGCCATGCCACAAGACGTTTCTCAGGTTGAGTCCACAGGGAGACCCGATGAAGACTTTCAGTACATCCATCTAATCCATTAAGACAGCAGATTACTGACGAGTAGAGTAAATAAACTCAATCCTACAGTGTTTGCTTCTCCCTTAGAACTAAGAGAGACAACAATCTCTGCCAGCATAAAGTAGTAACAACAATGAAGTCAACATTAAATTCTATACATTTTCATTTAGTGTGGGACAGTACAGAGGTCAGAGGACAGCTTGTAGGTGCTGATTCTCTCCTTCTACCATGTGGGTGCTGGTGACTGAACTATAGTCAGGTACCTTGACCTAATAAGCCATTTCACTGGCCTAAAGCCAGCATTTATCAAGTATTTAGCACATGATAGACACATTTTAGAATGATCCATCAACCTATCTTCAGAACCACCTCTGAGGAAGGCACAATCATTTTCTACTGTGCAGGGAAAGTAACCCAAGTGAAGAAGGTAAAGCCGAGGTTTCAGAGACCAGACCGTCAAGGCAGTCCTAGGATGAGGAGCTGACTCAGAAAGCATGGCTCTAACACTGTTCATCAGAAGTGCCCAGGAACTGAAGACACAGAAAATGATAGATAGAAATTCCACACCAGAGTGGCCCTATATGGTTAAAAAAAAAAAAAAAAAAAGGATGAGAACAGCAGCCATAACAAGGCAGCATCCAAGTCCTGTGTCCCCACCTCCTCAGACAAACTCATGAGAGAGGACAGTCAGCCCCTCAGGAAGGAAATGAAAGCAAGCTGTGTGTGTGGGGCCTCTACAGAGCAGGGGACAGAGATGCTTTCTGAGCCTCTGAAACAGAACCAGCAGGTGGAAAGCTCAGAGGGGTTCAACCCAATGCCAGTGCTTAACAGCCACGTCTTTGGAGCAACCTCAAGAGTCTCTGCTCCTGTCCCCATTTTATATACTAAACACCATCTGTCAGTGGCTATAAGAGATCATCCAGAGGCTAAAAGTGGCCATTCAGAGGAAAATGGTAAATGGCAGATGGCAGGCAGGAACAGAATGTGTTTAATGATTCAGTGTAACAACACGAGGCCACACTCCAGCCTCATCCCAGGCTCTCTACTGGGAAAATTATTTTTAGGCTGGTGAGGGAGACAATCCCAGTGAGCGGCAGGAGGGTTCACTGAAGATGGTTTCTCAGCCCCAAATAGAGAATTTGGTGGATTTCTGGTCCAACTAAGATGGCTGTTCTAGTCATCTGCCTCACTGAGCTGCCTACGTGTCACCACTTAGTCTGAACTCGATTGATTGCAGTCCCTCCCTCTATAATATTCTGAAAAATCTAAAGGCCTCTATTGTTTCTTACCGAGTTCTATTTTTGTTTTACATCTGAATGACTGCAAAAGGTATAAATTCCTACCTGTTAGAAACACAGGTATTTTAGGACAAACATGTAACACTATCATTCCAAAGTGCTACGCATAGTCTGTAGTGACTTTGTACTGCCACTGTGAATACTTAACTGAACAAAGTGATATTTCTAAGGGTCTCTCTGGCTGGACCTGTATGGTTACTCCAGCACCATCAAATCTGGGAGGGATAGCCTGTGGACTGTGTGGAAGTGGAACAATCCCAGAACGAAGGGAGAATATACTTAAGTCAGTGAAACAGTTAATGTTTTCCCAGACTGCAGTTTTGGAAGATCAAAAGTGCAGCTCAAGCTGGCAACTCTATGCTTTATGAATTGTTTACATACTTACCACAGCATGTCCAAAGACTTGTGAAAGTTCTGCAGATGCAAGAAGATCTCTTAGAAGAAAGGAGCACTCCTTCCCAATCAGTAAAAATACCTAAAATTCAAATGGAAATCATACAGTAATTACATTATGAGGAAATACTTTAAAACAGAGCATGATTTATGATGCATAGCACAAAAATGGACAAAGAAAAGTGCTTAGCCATACCACAAGGCCAGAGGAAGATATCAGTGCTCTTACCCTATCACTCTCCATCTTATTCCCTTGAGATAGGATCTAGAATGGAAGCCAGAGATCCCCAGTGATTCTCCTGTCTCTCCCCCACCCCAGTGTGGTGTTTCAGGGGGTGTAGCAGCAGCCGTACATAGGTGCTGAATCTAAATTCAGGTACTCATGTTTACACAGCAAGTATTTTGATCTACTAAGACATCTCCCCACTCTCAGGTACCAGGGTTTCTTAATTATGTAAAAAGAAAATCATTGTATTTTATAGGACGATAATAATAAAAACCAAGAAATCTGAAGTTTTTGTGTTCATCTGGGTAATCTAGCAAACAAGGATTCTCACACTCACATCGCCTAAGGCTCGTTCCAGACAGGAAGCCAGTTTCATTACACTGAGGGAGATGGCAGGAGACTGCAGGCTTTCCAAGGCATCAAATACTTCAAGAAACAACTATTCAGAGCAAAACACACATCGAGCTCATATTCAACAAAAAATCATTCTCAAAACAAAAATTATTTTTAAGTTACTATTACTGAATTCAAGCCTCTTAATATTTCAACTACTACATTTAATTTTTTTTCCTATGAGCTAACAGTTTCTATTGAAATGCTATAATAAAATTATTTAATATCTAAGGAGTTCTTTGAAAGTTCTTTCTCTAAATGTTTGTTCATTATTATGTCTGGCATAATAATGAAACAGAATATTTTGACCTACTTCTTATTACCCGTAATGATTTAGTTAAGTTCCTCTATAAGACAGCTCACCTTACTAGACTCTGTTTTAGAATCAGACACGTTATAGGTACTGTTTTATTATAGTCCTTTAACATGTCAAATGAAACGAAGGAAAAGAAAAAAACAAACCACAGAAGATTTGCATTAGGACCCAAATGACTATCTTTTTTCAATTCACTGTAAAGGAACCAAGCACCTACTATCTGGTATCCTAACCTTGTCATCTCCCTGGGAGTTCTGTCCTGATGCTAACATGGACTTTATCTGCTAATGTTGTGGTAGTGTGACTAGAAATGTGTTTGAATGCTTGATCTGCAGGGAGTGACACTATTAGGTGTGGCCTTGTTGGAGTAGGTATGGCTTGTTGGAGTAGGTGTGGCTTGTTGGAGGAGGTGTGTCACTAGTAGGTAGGCTTTGAGGTCTTAGAAGCTCAAGCAAGTTCATTTCCCATTGCCTGAGAATCAAGATATAGAATTCTTTGCTACATCTCCAGCACCATGTCTGCCTGGATACTGCCTTGCTGCCTGCCATGACAATAATGTATTAAACCTCTGAAACTGTAAGCCAGCCACATTTAAATGTTTTCCTATATAAGAGTTGCCGTGGTCATGGTGTCTCTTCACAGCAATAGAAACCTCTCTAAGACAAATGCTTGCCTAATTGAGGCCAAACATTGTTCAAAGTGGTATGCTCCTCAACTCAGGCTTCAGAGCATATTATTTATAAACCATTTAGATTTCTCTTGAAGCTCCCAGGACCTCTTCAAAGTAGGAAGGTCAAAAAAAAAAAAAAAAAAAGACACTTTTAACTTGGCAAGTAATGAGGACTTCCAATTTGCAAAGCCTTTTATTTCTAAAGATATGCAAATGTCAGACCTCTGGATACACTGTCCACTGGAACCATGGTGAATACTTCATTTCAAACTGTGCCCTGGTCAGAGATAAGATGTGTAGATGGATGGACTCACAGACAGGACCCAGCAGCCGTATACTTCCCCTGTAATCCAGACTCTGCCCTTGTAGGAGGAGAAAATAAGTTTTAGTTCCACAGCTCTGTGTCACATGATGAAATAAAAAGTCTAAATCAAAGCAAAAGCTTTAATTACAAGACGTTGACAAAGTCAAGCAGCTTATAATTGGACATACAGTAAGTGTACTTGCAGCTCAGTAGAAATGAATTGTAAAAGGCTTTACTACCAGTTGAGAAAGCGTAGCCATAGCTCTAGTTACTCACAATCAACTACAAAAATACTGAATTTCAGAAATGATTCATATTGTCAATTAGGTGCTGCTCTGAGTAACAAGATGAGACAAACTACTCCGTTCTGTCCTGTCCTACCAGAGTACCCATGACATATACATACCTAGTGACTAGTGGACCCAGGCCCCAAGAATCGATTCCAGTATCCCAGGCCTGCCTCCTGCTCACAATATTCTTAGCTAAGTGCATCTCTTGACTTTTCTATACTTTCTGAGCTTCTTTTTCTCCCCTGACAACTACATCTTAACATCCTCCAAGAAGAAGAGCCAAGAAGGGCTTTGCAGGCCAAAACATTTTCAGTGTAATGGCACCACCAAAGCTTGGTGTACAAAGACAATACAAACCTGATTCTGCATAGCTCACACGGTCTGTAAGTGTTTCCCAGTGCACTTCACCATTCTGAGTTACAATGCTATTGATATCGCAGTTTTCTCTGAGTTCAAACCCAACATGACAAATCAAGTCACGCACTAAAGGAGAAAGGCATGTGGTAATGGGATCTCCCGTTAAAATCTAAAACATAAAACATACAGGGCACTGTTACAGTACAGTCAAAGGAAAATCCAGACTTAAATACAGACAGAACTAAGGTAGGCAAGCTGTGGATATGCTTTCTGGATACCGTAATAACTGTGTGTGTCAAACCGTACTTAGACACTATGCATATTTTATGTGTCTGTCTTAAGGTGAACGTTGAAAAACTTGACTTTGTCTTTTTTTGTTTTTGTTTTTTTGGGTTTTTTGTTTTGTTTTTCGAGACAGGGTTTCTCTGTGTAGCTTTGGAGCCTATCCTGTCACTCACTCTGGAGTCCAGGCTGGCCTCGAACTCACAGAGATCCGCCTGCCTCTGCCTCCCGAGTGCTGGGATTAAATGCGTGCACCACCAACGCCTGGCTTGACTCGTTTCTTTGGTCACTCTTGCTGACACTGGAGATCAGAGCCTCGATGTTTTGTGTTGTTTTTGTTTTCCTTCTGGCACCCCTTCATTATACCGCAGGTATCAAACCAGCGATTCTTCACAGGGAGTGTGAGCACAGAACATCTCCGACCTTGGCATACGAAACACAACTTCGTGTGTGCAATGACGGATCTCCCGACTTGAGGTGATTTTACCCTTTTGCGTTTTCATAACGCTTCCTCCCTCTCATCATCCCGCCGCGGGCCTGCCACAAGGGCATCCACCCAGGAGAAGTGGCCCGGTCCCACCCTGCGGGGGTCCCAGGACAGTGACGGGGGGTGGGGAGTGGGGGGGAGGACACA